ATAAATTAACAAGAACAATGTACTGTTGGTATACATTTATTTCCATAAAAAGAAACTAGTTTACTTATATAACAAAAATAACTATCAGTCAAATGACGTAAAATGAAAGTCTCATAAGTGTAATTAATGTAATTACACATTATGGCAGATATTTGACTGAGTGAGATAACGAGAGAATGAGAGTGAAAGAGATAGAGAGAGAAATATATCTATGAATCTACGTTGAACGCGATACCTTGACAACAGAGGAGAAAATAGATGACACACATACACACAATGTATGCATCAAGTTGACCAATTTAGTAAATCACACGCAATGTTCTCTAACAGTCAAACTAAGTATACATCAAAAAACTCGATTATGACATTTCTTTTTATTGATAGACAAGTTTATTTATCACTAGGTAAGCTAGTACAAAAATATAATTATTCTGGTGAAAGTTGGTTTATTAGGGATGAAAGCTGAAGTTATGTAACACATTTGCAGTGTGCGGTGTCGAACGCTTCCCGGTACTTTTACCTGAATTAAGTGAGTATGTACTGCATGATTGGCGATATTAATTTTCCTCAAATATTTTATTACAAACCCTGACTTACAATAAACTTGAGTTTCTTGATGCAATGGGCCACTCGGAAGTCGCCAAATGAGGTCACGAAGTGGTACCAATCGAAAATCTCCTGATGATGAGTTCATGTGATTGGTCAAGAAATGGTTTCATTTTCTAACGTTTACATATATATATATATATATATATATATATATATATATATATATATATATAAGTACTTATGGATGCGAATCATTTTTGTCCAGTAAACTTCATTCTTCACTCCTAGTCTTCTTACTCAGTAGTCGGCTGGGAGCTCGATTATAAGAAGTTTGTGTATCAGTATCCGTTTCTGGAATCACGGTTTATGACGTTTCTCATCCGACATGGAAGACGATTGTGGGTAATTCCAAATGTTTGAGATGAAATCTATAATGAAGCCCAAACTATTACACACAGCACTCACTGTCATAACGAGGGGTGTCCGAAATCTGATACAGGACGTGCTACACACTAACTCTTCAACTGACTACTTGAGCGAGAACACAGGAGTGAACGAGAAAGCATATTGAACTGCGGAATAAAATGGACAAATACTCATATATATACAACACTCTACCCCTTAAAAAATAACTCCATTTTATAGCCAATGAGATGCACTTGTTCTTCAGGTCATCGATCAGCCTTCTCATTTGGCTGCTTCTAGCTGGTTTACCGTATCATTCACTAATTCCTAGGTGCCGTATGTCCATTAAACACTAAAAACCTAATAAATAACTTCCGCCGACATGAGATGAGTTTGAATAATTCTCTTAAAATGACAGCTTGATTGGTTATGAAACAACTTCATAGCTAATAAGAAGAGATGTGCGATAAATAGAAATATTTCTCAACAGAAGTAACAGAAACTATTAAGATTTAGTAGTCTTAAGAAGTTGATTAGCTTTTTAAAGATTATTACCAATTTCCCGATTTTAGTATTGTAGAAGTATCATTGCATAATCTCAATAATGTAAAGGTTAACATATTCACGCTAAAGAATTCTTGCACAATCTTTCTTGTAGACATAAATAGCTTCATAAAAATTAATCATCACCTAAAAAATCTTTGATAATAAATTTACTGAAAACTTATACAGATGAAATCATAGAGGTATCATCGTTATCGACATATCATTTATGATAATAAAGTCAGGGATGAAGATCGTTATCTATTTTAATACCTTTACTTCACTAGCTTAATTATTATTCAATAAACCTTTAATAAGATATCTTTTTAGCGAATTTATTAGAATTAAAGTAAACTAGCAAAAATTGATTGATTCACGTGTTACGTAATGTACATATATATGTACTCAAAAGTGAGCATTTGATGCTTTTAACATTATCGTTTCTACTCTGAGATAACAAAACGAATTATGTTCTAACAATTTTAAAAAAATTACAAATACTACACAAAGATATTTCTATTGTAAATTATTTTATATGATCAAAGATAGAATTGGTAAAACAGATAAAAAAAAAACCCCGGTGAACTCAATCAATTAGAAAGCAACTTTTGTAAATGAACTGTTTATGGAGAGAAAACAAATGATATTACAAAACGTAAGCAATATTTACATAGTTAATACATCTGTCAAAATTCTCTTTTACAACTTATTCTATTAGTAAATAAACAAAAACTGCATATATATTGATCTTTATGGATATAGATTATCTGTCATCCTGAACGTTTATGACAATCTAAACTGTTTTCGAAGAATCCACAGAGAACTTTTTTTGTTAGGACTGAGGATCAAAGGGTTAAGGTTTTCATCAAGAAATGGGATCAGTTATAATTTAAAAATGTTCTGTACTCATATCGATAAATGAATTTCGTAAAAACCTACAAGGTACAATATTTGATTAGCTCCTCCATAAAACAAGCCTTTAACAGGTTTAGGTTTGCTTCAGAACGAAGGGTTTGGTGGATTTCTCTGTCATATACAATTTGAAAAGTGAGTTGAGGCAATATAGATGAGTCGACCTCATGTAAAAATGCAGGATGATCTATTTGATTGGTTTGTTCATAAGATATAATACCACTAAGTTACGGTTTGCTTCAGGGAATATAGAGGTATACACATCCTTATATTTTCAATTGGGTGTTTATATTCAACTAACAGAGATATAATTGAACATTTGTTACGTTTAGCACCATCATTTCTACAGTATCTTAATGGAAAGTGATTCTACGCAATCATTTTAAACTTTTCGAGCACCATACAAAGGTATTTCTACTGCTTGTAGTAAGTGATAAATGAGTTTCGTGCAGAAGCCAGATTCTGATTGACTTATCCTTATCATATACTTTTATTGATGAAAGTCATCAATTTTTTAATTTCGCGCAACAACTCGAAAGTAGTTTTGTTGATTCGGACTGATCTATCCATATGACACTCTTAAATCATACCATATATATAGGAGGTTAATCAGTTTTATTGAATTCCAACAAGAAGTCATAATCTATGGACATACATATTAGGAATGAGGCTTTGGTTCATCAATCACATTGGATGAAGATCATGCAATACCTTACGCTCAAATAAGTTGAATAAGTGAACTATCAAGTTCAAATTTAGTTTATGAAAAAATTGGAAATCGGTTGATAGAGTACTAAATCTTCACCGAGTGAGATGGTCAGGATATATGCTACGTATGTCAAACCACAACATAACTTGGTGTGTTGTTCTAGTTGGTGTAGTGGTGAGTTGAGAGAAGGCTAGAAGTAACCAAACGAAAGAGTGGTTTCATTTCACGAAGTCAGCGATTGACTTGAGTCAGTTGAGCAGATGCAAACTACCTACTTGGTTGAGGTCCGCGCAATAAACCTTTTCAGTAGTTACGGTTAGCAAGGTTGGTTGACATTAATCAAAATCTGTTACAAAGACACAGACTATTTCATTCTTTACTTTCATCTTCCTCTACATCTTCACTTCCAGTATTCCTTTATATACGCCATTCGCTATGTCTTCTCCAACCGTATTCTTAATGTTTAATCTTTCTCACCGTCGTCACGACTAAATTATTTCTACTTTTTTTGTTATTCACCTTGCGAACTTCATGTCATTAAGTTGATGTCGTCTGAAAACCTGAGCTAATGAGCATTACTGATAGACCTTATATTGAGTATACATTCGCACTTTCACGAAGTTAATATCATGTTCGATCTAATGTTGCGTCGTGGATGTGCATCTCTGAGGAGCACCGAAATACGACCAAACATTTTCAGTGCTTATCGACTTACAATTATGGTTATGCGATATCAGTTACTGATGAAAACTGACTATATATATATAAGCAGTGTCAGTGTTAATCTGCAAATCGAAGAAAGTTCTAGTGAGAAGTCATGACCAGTGGAGATAATTCGTGTCGGATGTGAAACAGAAACCTACGAAAGACAGTTGAAGGTGGTAGCGCAACGTCTTGGATTGATTAAAGTTAGACATCAACATCACTGGATGCCATCTCAGTGGTCTAGAAGTTAAGCGTTCGCGCGCGAGACCAAAAGCCCTCAGTTCGATTCCCGTAGGTGGGATCGTGAATGCGCACTGCTGAAGAGTTCCATTCTAGGACGAAACGGCCATCCAGAGCTTCCAGGTTCTCAATGGCGGTCCAAATTTGATCGGTTCATTAGTCCAGCGAAATTCAACAGTCTCCACAATCTCATACTGAAAACCGGAGAGAGACAGATAAATTCATGAAGTGTAATGACCTCTACCTAAGAGACGATGCTACTATGATTAATATTATGAATAATATTTTGTAGTCTGACACAAACAGAAATAATGATCGATTAGCAGCTAAGTCAATTGATATTTAACTGTACTGCTACTAGTTCGAACTCCACATCTAGTTATTGTCACAATGAGCAAGCTGGTAGTATGACTAGTTTTCCACGCGTAAAAATATGCTTCAAAGCCGAGTAAATAAGAGCCTGTACTCGGTGTTAGACAGGAGCAATAAATAGAAAAAGTATTTGATTTACAGTATTTTTGTATTATCTTTATTGTAAGCTTCTAATTGAATCATTGATTGATGATACTTCTCTTACCGTTCATAATTATATGCTTGGTATTTAGTTTTATAACATAGATCACATAACAATGTACAGATTGTGATAACTTATTTACAGTGAGTTATGAAATCGTGAAGTTGATATTTATGGCCGTGTGCAATTCGAGTAATAAAATAAACAGAATAAATCCAATGAATTTTTTCATGCTCTGACTGAGCAAACTAGAAACAGGAATAAGTTGATCATTGATATAATTAACCCAAACAGACTCATCACTAGTGAAGTTAATAAAATAATGGACCTATTAAATAGGTATACACAAATGAGATCAATATCACTTGATAAATAAGTTACATTTAATTTATATCAATTGAATAATAATAATAATAAACTGACCCGTACATTAGACTTCATGACATGACATACAGAAGTACTAGTAATTGTTGTTATTGGTACTGTTGACGATGATGTTGTGATTACTGATGTTGAACCACAGATACTATCCATCTCTTGTTGAGCTAATTCATATTGTCTAATCTTAGAGAAATGCTCTGATCGTCTATGCGCAGATTCCAAAAGTACCTGAAAAACGAAATGAAAAAAGGGATTGAGTTAAAACAGAACTATTAAATTTATACGGATAAAACAAACTAATAATACTATAATTCACTAGACAAACATTTCTGTAGTTTGATAATTAGTACTAAGAATTTACAATGTATACATATACGTATATACTACTTAAAACAATAAGTTTTCTAGGGTTAAGACCTAGACCTATACTTCTAATCAGTGGTTGAAAACATTTAAATCTTGTAGTTGCATTTCAGTCGAAAACTGTGATTAAATTATAGCGAGTACATAGATTATCATGCAAAATTAAACTCAACAATTCTATCGATAATTTCAAGCTTATTTTATTTGTTATAATCAAACCAGATAGGTAGGTTAATAAACATCTGGACTTTTCGATCACTGAGTGGCATAATTAATGTTATATTGACTAGTATTTAATGCTGATCAAAAGTTATTCAAGTTGGAATATAACACACAGAATATCAGTTTCATCGAGATTACAGATACGCCTTGTTTACAAGCACTGACTAATCAACCAGTTAGTAATAAGCAGCGTAGAGCCTGCCACCACACATGTGTATCGGTTCAAATTGCCATGACATACCAAAACAGCAAGATGAATACCAAAAAGCTGAACTTAGTTGTAAAAAAGCAAAGATTAAGGTTAAAGATTCAAAAAAGTAAGAATTAATTCAAGAAATAACTTCATAACTCAGGATCCGGGAGTAAACAAACAACGAATGGATCAGGTCACAGAGACTGATTCTGGGTTATGTCACTCAACGTCCCAAACCACTGGTTATGGTAAGCATGCTAGCCCCAACCAGAAGATAATCTACACGTGTACTAACATAACTCAGATGAAGAGTCAACAAGTTGATGGGCTGATATCACATTTCGGTTTATCTACCTAGTTATGACACACGGTGTCCAAAATCGATACTGATGCAAAAGGTTTCTACATGCAAGCTCCCAATCGGCTAATGAGTGAGAAAACTACGAGTAAAGAAGAAAGCTTATTGGAATAAACCAATTCACATGCATAAGTTCTCATTTACCATACATTTATGTCCACTCCTTAAAATATGAAATCGTTTCTTCACCAATCAGGTAGATCGACCATTAGATTTTCGGCTGGTACAACTTCGTGGCATTTTTATTTGGGGACTTCTGATTGGCTCATTTTAGTACACCTATAGTTTTCCTCTAGGCTGATTCAACTCCAAACATTCTATTTTGTGGTAGGTAGCAGTTGAGAAACTTGGATGCACACAGTCTCACATCCGACTGCCACTTCCAACCGCCTGATATCTTAGTGACAATGGATTGGTTGTGACTAAATAGCCCTGAAAATAATAACTAAGATCATTCATAAAAAAATTAGAATAGTAAAATATCAAGCAAGCATCTCAATATGGGCACACACACATACAGAAAAATGTGGAGTAGAAACATGTTGTTAAATGAAAACAGTAAAATGAAAAGGAACTACGCATTACTTACGTGTAATTCCCGAAAGATATGGTTCAGTTCCTTTACTAATGGTATTAAAATACTATGTAAAAAGTTCAACTGACTACTGGATTTCACTACAAGATCTGGATCCATATAAGGGGCAACAGGAAGACCAGCTTGTTTTTCTGCTGCAGCCTAAAGAAAAAAGGATCAAACAGAAGGTTAGAAAACAACAACTTTGAGACGTATTGGTGCAGTTCCAACATACAAACACACATGTTATGTGTGATAATAACGTTTCATAATCCAATCGCAAAACAAATTTACAATTAAACTGAAATAAGTCGTTAAACAGTGAGGCGTAGGGTTTTTAATGATTTTAGGCATTTAACTTTAAACAGCTAAGTCGCAGGTTCGAGTCTTATTCTATCTACTTCAGTTTGGGCAATCAGATAGTAGTGTTACTAGCCTTCTTATTACGTATAAATCATGGCTCAAAGCCAAGTACATAAAATTGGACTTGATAATTGATTTACATCGGCTTTAGTTTAACAAACTTCATTATAGTAACTTCTGCTTTCGCACTCATCTTTTCCTGACAGCACTTGGGATACGTAGAGTATAATTATTCAGTTACAACTAACTTCATTTCAATTATCTTTCTATGTTGGGTAGAGTTTTTAAAAACTAAATAGATGAAACATTGTTTGTTTTATAAACAACAAATATCAGTGATTACATCACTGCATCAACCATTCTATAATGCAAAAACGATTAGATGGACATCCCGAAACAATTCAAGTTAGACGATTATTGAAAAACTGGAAACACCGTTAGATGCTAGCTCAGTGGAATATAGTTTAATCGTTCGTGTTTGAGACCAAAGGTTCTTAGTTCAATGACCAGTGGGAGTTGTGGATGCCAACTATTAAAAAATCCCATACTAGTGCAGTGAACGAGAACACAAGTGTGGACAGTTGAATGTATTTGAGCACAAAATTACAGAACAACTTACTAAAATCTGAGGACCATACAATGAATAGTTGAAATCATGAGTCAATTGAAGCTAGACCACCATGGAAAACCTGGGAGCACTGAACGGCCGTTTCGTCCTAGTATGGGACGCCTCAGCAGTGCGCATCTATGATCATGCCCTCATAAGACTCAAACCAAGGACCTATCAGTCTCGCGAGCAAGCGCTTAACCAGCGCTTAGACCACTGGGCCGGCATCCAGCGGTGTTAATGTTTAACTTCAACCGATCCACGAAATTGCGCCACCTTACACCATCGTCTTCAGTGAGGTGATAACCCACAGCAGACCTGGTTAAACACTATTGGTCACGGCTTCTCACCAGAACTCCAGGAAATGCCTCTTGAAGTCAGTCACTAGTAAGCAGATGATTATTTTAGTGATTTCAATAGTTGAAATCATTAGTCAATTGAAGCTAGACCACCATTGAAAACCTGGAAGCACTGAACGGCCGTTTCGTCCTAATATGGGACTCCTCAGCTTCAACTGACTCATGATTTCAACTATTGAAATTACTAAAATCTCCACAAAACCCCTTCTGATGCAGTGAATACTTAATTTGCAAAATGTCAATCAATTGTCTCAAACTTCACTGCTCCTTTTGCATATATCAGTCAATCGTCTCAGACTTTAATGTTCTTGCATTCCCATACCAATTGCTTTCTGTTCCCGTTCTTTCCCCCTCGATCTTCTTGAGCTTCTGCCGTCAAACATTTCATCCCTGACTAGCGTTATATACTACTTATGTCGATATAAGTAGCACACACCACACTAGGACGAAACAGTCATCTAAGGTTTCCAAGGAGGAAGGTGAAAGTAAGGAATTAATTGATCTGTGCCTTTGTAACAGATTTTGATTAATGTCAACCAACCTCTCTAACTACAACTACTGAAAGAGATTATTGCGTGGACCTCAACCAGGTAGATAGTCTCTACCTGTCTAAATGACTAACACCAATCGGCTATGGATTAAAGCTACGATTAAGCAATAAATTCTTTCATAGCTATCTCAAAGATTAGTTCCTATTTTTGCCATTCGTTAAAATGAAGGAATTTTAAGCTACAGAATAAACTAAGAAATGGTGAATTTGATGATATACTATGTTATGCTGTAATGATCAACTAACAAGTTATCAATGAACTGATTGATATGGTGTGATGTATTTCATGAGATCATATGTTTTTAGCCGATTCGGGGTTTACAAAATGGTAGTTAGAATTTCGATTGGATAAAACCTTTATTGAAACTCAATAATTTAGCGATAAGTTGGATGTACACGAAGCCTAATCATCTCAATAATAACTAGACATAATGAAAGACAGTAAATTGGTTGATAAGATTGTGAATGTTCATCGACTTAGATGGTTAAGAAGTGTATTACATATACTAAAACACCACCCACCTCGATGTGGAACGTTCGCTGGTGAAGGGTTAAGTTGGTAGAAAGCTAGAGGTGCCCAAACCAAAACGTAACATCAATTTGTGAAGTGAGATGCCAGCTATTAGACCCCCACTACCTGGTTTGGATCCACGTGTTTATCGTAACCAATGTTTAGAGATGGTGGATGATACGGTCACGAATGAGTAGCAGTGAAGCAGATACATTCACAATTTATCTAGTCCTAGATCTTGAGTTCTAAACGTATTTTATACTTTTTATTCCATGAACGAATTTTTTCCTCTTGACGTATGTCATCTATGTTTAAGCTTTTTTTACTATTGCTACTCCCACTACTTTGGTAATCATCTTAATAATTTCATCTTGCAGTACTGATATAGTGTGGCAACATGAAGTAATACATATATTTGTCAGGTTCTACAATGTTTATGGCTGAATAACTGATTAGTATCACCAGTAAATCACATTTCAGTCAGTCAGCAACAACGTAGAACTTCGTAAATATGTGCATCAGTTCAAGTTGACATACCACATTAACACAGAGATTCAATTGTCGACTCAAATCCCATAATGGTAGACGTAGTAAAAGTATAAGCAGTAATCGGAAACATTAGGCTTTGAACATGTTATTCAAGGAGTATAATCCAGTGAAATAAATTTGGAAAGAGAAAAAGAGAAAGGGACATAAAGAATTCAGAAGATTAGAATTTGGCAGAACACAAACAGTGGATGCACCTGCGCCATTGCAAACCATTTTCAGCCATGTTATTTAAGGTCTCTAACCATCGGTTGCTATCGTCTCGCGGTCCCCAACCAGGTAGTCTACACCTACCAACATGGCTCACTCCACTTGTCAGTGACTTCATGGACTTGTGCCATGTTTTGGTCTGGCCGCCCCTAGCTTTCTTCCAACCTACTCTTATAACATTGAACATAGCACGTCGAGGCAGTCGGTGGTCGGGCATACGTAACACATGTCCCAGCCATCTCAACTGATGAAGTTTCACTACTTCATCAATTGATTTGCAATCCTTACTTAGTACCCGTTTCCTAACAACTGTGTTACTTACTCGATGGTCCCAGGATGTACGAGCAATGTTTCGAAGACACCTATGATCAAATACTAGTAACCTACGAATATCCTCTTCTCTTACCGGCCATGTTTCATTGCCATAAAGTAGGACGGAACGAACTGCCGCACAGTAAACATGTCTTTTAGTTGATAGACGAATATCTCGCCTACTCCATAAATGACGCAAGTTGGCAAAAGCTAGTCGGGCCTTCTGTATCCATGCTGAGATTTTGTCAGACACCAGACCACAAGGGCCAATGAGACTCCCAAGATAAGTGAAGCGGTTGACACGCCCAACTACTTCACTTCCTATCATTAGTTCGGGTGTCGATGCAACCCAATCCTAAAGCAACATTTTGCATTTTGAAGGAGGGAATCACATACCGAACATGCTTGCATTGTTGCTTAGAGTGGTCAGAAGACTGCATTTTGTCAGCGTCTTCACCAAATAAAACTATGTCATCAGCATATTCCAAGTCAACAAGTGAATCTCCTGGTAGAAGTTCAACCCCTGGAAATTTAGATGAGGAAAGTGTTATCTCTAAAAGTACGTCAATGACAAAGTTAAACAAGAATGGAGAGAGTGGGCAGCCCTGACGAACACCACTTTAGGTAATCAATTCTGATGACAGTTCGCCATAAGCTCTCACTCGACCAGTTGTGTTCGAGTAGAGAGCCTTTATAAGGTTAATGTACTTCTTTGGTACTCCTTTCAGTGACAAACACAGCCATAGAACCTCACGATCAACAGAGTCAAATGCCGCCCTAAGGTCGAGAAATACTATGATTGTGAGGCGTTTGAATGTGTGTCTATGTTCCAGGACTTGACGTAGTGTGAATATCTGGTTTATACAGCAGCTTTAAGTCATACTCATATCGTATGAAAGCTTAGTGATATATTATCAAACGATTTAAACTATAGGATTCAAATCCAAAATCTGAATAGTTGAAAACTAAGTGAGTAAATTATTAATCTATCATTCTTATTCATAATTCACCATTGAATAACTATCATTATTCAATTATGTAAATAAGAAGAAATGAAGTTTTTCAACTAACCTACAATCTGAACAGTTTTATATTAATATTATGAATTAGTATTGATTTTACAGTTTTCCTTCCTTTCATAAAAGAAAACAATAGTTAATAGGAAACGAAATCATTTTAGAGGGGAAAAAAGTGGTAAAAATAAACAATTTCAGGTCAAATGAAGATAGATAGACATAATTGGCAAGAAAAATAAATTATAACTTGGCATACAAATTATAACCCTTATAAAGATAAACCTATGAGTTAAAGTTGATAATGAAACAATTTAAATTTCAACTTTATAATAAATATAATTAACTAATTCTATTGTTCATTTTTAGTTGAATGAGAAAATTGCAAATCTAAGAAGAAGAAAAATGTTACTCTTTGTCTTTGACCCCTCAAATATTGAGGTGGTACAGTATTTCATAAGTTATGAGTGACTTGTTGATTTTAACAAGAAAATAGTGTTTTAATTATCTGTATGAAGTAGTGTAAACCGTTAACGGGTTCGAGGAATTTATTAAAAAGACTTGAGTCTAAGCTGTATGCTAGCTGGTACTGGTTAGCAAGACATAGCTGGGATTTTTCTCAGCAACTAATACTATCTATAGAGTTTAAACTCACTCAATAAACTAAGCTATTCAAGTGATGACTGATTTGCTGTAAGACTGAAATATTTACATTAGGCAACTGCAAAGTAACATCAGAACATAGTGCACACGATGTCGAATCATTCAGAATAATGACTACATTGTAACTTGGTCGATAGAATTCGATCAGTACAAGGCAAAAATGATACTGGTCGAACACTAGTCAATTCTAGTGGTGTAGATTTCTTAGGTTCAGTAATCGAAGTGGTAATGATAAGGTATTATATAGAAAAATATAGTTTGTGTAAAATCACTAATCATGAATTACAATGATTGTATAAAAAACACCTAATACATGAATATGACCGTGATAATTGAAGTGTTTTGTTTTTACATATTCCCAAAACAAAACTGTAGGTCATCCACCGGTCGGATATAACCCAGGAGCTATTCAGGTCATCGCTGAACTGATGACCGTGACAGAGATATGTGATGTCATGTATGAGTTTCTCGTTGTGGTGACCTAGTCAATTTATTACTCACCATAGCAGTCGTTTCTTGATAGGTCCTAACATTTCAGAGGTATCAGTTGGAAAGTCGTAAGATTAAAGGAGAAAGTCTCCGATTGCAAAGATAAGACATTACTTCCAATCATGCAAACGTGTGGCAAAACGGAAATGTTGATCGTGAATAGAAAACATCTTCAAGGACGCTACCTCCTGGCAAATAGTAAAAGAGATTGGAGAAAATTCGGTCCTAGAAAAAACACACAAACACACCTTTAAAGTCTTAGGAGTTTCCAGTGATAACATTTTTAAAAACATACAAAGTTTATACACTGGAAAATGTTTACACATGATCGGTATCATTTAGCCATTGATGATTACACTTTCATTTCGATAAGATCATATCAATAACAATTCAAATTCAATTAACATTCTTTAAGAAGAAATATCTTTTCAAGGTATGAACCGTCGAAGAGTTCAAGTCGTTTCGTACCTCATCATAAGTAAAGCTGAGAAGTTACAAGATTGAAAAAAAAATTACTCAACAGATTTTTAATATTTCTAGTAGTGAGTAGTAACATGAAATAAACACCTATAAATATCATTATTATTTATCTATGGAAAAATTAAACAAAAAAATTATTACACAAACCTGTAGAAAAAATTCTTTGAATAAACAATCCACCCAGACATCAGCAACTAATGGTGAACGAATCTCATTTGATATATCGCATACTTTCAACAGTATCATTAAAAGTCTTAATAAATATTCAGGTTGTTGATTAATTAATGAAATTAATGAAGACTGGATTAGTGATGCATTAATATGACCATAATCATTATTATTAATATAATCGCCATTATTGTGATCACTGTCATTATCACCACCAAAATTAACAACGTTATGAGTATTATTATTATTATTATTATCAACATGCTGATTGATACATGAATTATATTGGTCATATTCTTCTGTTCGATTTTGTCTGTCCACCCCTGTCTCATCATTGTCATTATGGTTAGGTTGATGACGATGATGCTGATGATAATGATCATGGGAAGTTGTTAGTGTAGGCTGTTGTTGTGTAGGCGACGGTGATGAAGGATCAATATATGATGATAATAATTGAAGAGAAGGAAATATTGAATCAGGATTTTTCAACTCCCCTTGTTGACTATTATCACAACAAGAATGATCAATATTTTGGTGATTATGTTTTATACTACTAATACTACTACTACTCATATCCATAGATAACGACTGGCAATTCAAATAGACCTGTTTTCGTAAAACTTGAAATTGTGACAGACATTCTGAATGGATGGCCATATCTGTGCTTAAAATACATCTATGTGAATATATTTATATATACATATATATATATAAAATTTGAGAAAAAGGTAATTGCGTCACCATCAACCCCCCGGAACCCAATCCAAAAAAGAAATAGATTTCCAATGTTTTGATTGTTTCATTTTAAGAGGTATGAAATATGTAAAAGAAAAAGAAAAGAAGTCAAAGAGAAAGAAAAAAAACGACGAAACATTAGAATGAATTGTTTTGTCTTTTGTCAATTATATGAAAAGAAACCAAAAACATAAATTTCAACTCAATTTTTTCGCTCTCTCTCTCTCTCTCTATGTGAAACACCTTTTTTGGCTAAGAGAAGAGAATATATCATGATAAATACGTCACATTATTCATTATTTGGTGAGATAGAAAATAAATTAAAATCAATAGACACTTGAATAAAAACACACACTCTACTCTTTAGAATAGATATTTCAAGAATACTGTGAACATATGACGAGGATAATAATAAGTAAGCAATGTTGAAGTGAAAACTTTACTCTTTTACTAAGATGATAAATCGATTAAAGTTAAACAACTGTTGAAAATCTAAAAAAAAAATATTAAAAAGTTGTTCGATGCTATTGTCAGCAGATTTTTTTTTGTTTTGTTTTAAGTATAGCTATTTAGTCACAAGTTTATATTAAAATTGGATAGTAACTAGCAATGGAATATAGGATATGTGTTACATCGTATTTGAAACTAGTCAGTTAAGTGAATTTGAATCTGGCTACCGTGTACAATCAGTCAGCTTAGTAGATAATGCGTTGAATGTTAAAAGTGAAACGTATTGCGTCTCAGTGTTAATGTGGTGAACATGCAACACGAGGATGAAGATATACCCTGTAAACAAGTTTCAAATAGCATTAAAAGGATGTATTGTATTCCACTACTAGTCGCCCTACATCCACCACTATCCAACTTCAATATCTCCAAATTACAATGAGAACAAATAAATGGGATATATATCATAACTAATAAGTATATACGAGTCACATTCTGATTAGTTTAGTAACAACAAACAAAAATCAATAGAGTATATACATTTCTAAATTGCTTGTCCATTTTACCTGACCTTAAAAAATTTAATATCTTTTATTCATTTTTGCATTGGTTGCTTGAATCTTCCTATTGATGTTTAGGACTGCAATTGATCAGTCTCTTATTAGCATATGTGCATACTGTACGGATTGCCTCGATATTGCCGTAAGTCACAAGTATTATAAGCAGAGATAGATGGTGGTTAGCAATGAAATCCAGGATGCGCGTTTCGTCGTATTTGGGTACTCACCAGCTGGATTTACCTTCAATATCTTTTATGTTAAAATATTGATGAGAAAGAAATGTTTCACTAAATAAAAGCCTTACAGATATGCATAAAGACGTTAAAGAAAATAGATACAGACAAAGTTGACCTTAAATGTAAAATGGAATAATGAGAGTAAAAAAAACAAATTATCGTTACAATAAAATACAAATGGCTCCATTATCTCTCACGCATAAACGAAGTTCTAAGATATGGATGTTATGTTTAAGATAGAAAAAATGTACTTAACAAAAAGATAATAGTTGCATATATGTATATACAAATCGACAAACCTTATCACAGATCTACGAAAATGACGTGATTCATTTGGTGTTAATCCACTGATAATATTTGCCGTAGGATTGTTGTTGATAAGATCGAATGCTGTCATACAATGATGATTCTCCAATGGTGATATATCATTGTAACGTAGAGCAAGCCAAGTGCCAGCATTAATCTATTTAGATAATAATAATAATAATAATAATAATAATAATAATAATAATAATAATAATAATACTCTTTGTTACTTCATCAAATTCTTTCACTTAATTATGAATGTGATGAGAATATAAACGCTGGTATGTGTTGCGTAAAAAGTTAATTAAATATGTTTAATTGAGTGATTTATAGTGAGTTATTGTGGAAGGATAATTCAATGAAGAAAAAAAACCAAACAAACAGATATTTCTCCATAGTATTACAAATTATATCATACAAAGATATTCAATGGAATTACCAAGCCTTTCGTTTCATTATCATATACTACTCAATTGTAATAATAATAGTAGCAATAATGGAAAACAGTATAATTATTAATTGATTTGATTTACATGTTTAACATTCAGATACTTAGAAAATAAAGCAAAATGAATGAAGAAACATTTGTTTGCAATTAACTTCACATTATCATTATCACTATACATCCACACCACTATAATGTATGTATCTAGTCCAGATTTATAATTTCTAGCTGTTAATATTTCAATACTATAATTGATTAATCTCTGTTGATAAATGTACATCCTAAACAGATTTCCTCGATTTGATCATTCTAAATATTATAAAACTTACAATTAGAGGGCTATTACTAGGTAATTCGCTTAGGATATACATATATCAACAGAGACTGGTCAACTATAATCCTGAATATCACCAACAACAAATTATAAAACTTTATTAATCATGCCTTATTTGACATGATGGTTGGGCTTATATAACATGACGACCTAATCAATCTACATTGGCTTGAATATTCATCCTTTAGGTCTGACACCATACAACCTAGGTCGGTTGGACAGAAGATTAAAAGAAGCAAAGTATGTGGTCAGAAAGTGAAATTGTGTTGTCGAATGTACATGTGTTTAACGTTATTAATGTATTTCCTTCAGATAACCAGCACATACAACAATGCTCCTATCACCACAACAAGAATGGGTTAAAAATAATTGACCATAAAAATATTACACCTCATATTATCTCATTAATTTTTGTAACCAGCATAAGGTCTGTAAAGTTTAATCTTTCCAAATATTAAAAAATAATAATTTATTCTATACTTAAGTTAAAAATAAACAAATGCATAATCTTGAACAATCTAATTAGTCAAACTATACGAATTAGTGTCGATAAAAAAAGCAAAACAGTAAGGTTGTTAGTTTTATGTTTCATCGTCATAGACCAGTAGTCGATACATTTAAGAAACAGTTATTCATTCATTCATTCACTCTCCAAAACTAAATTATAGTATATAAGAATTATGATATAATATGAATTATAGATTCTCAATCAACTAGGTTACTATTTAAAAAGATAAAAACAAATTATTGATTAGTAGTTAGCCGCTCAAGGTTATTTGTTTGTTCAAATTTTGGGACAAATGGTTGATTTTACCGGAAATTTTTCATTTCATCACCGTTAATGGATCATAATTATTTGTTTACATGAATTTATTTCGTTTTATTTATTTGTTATTTACCACTTGGTTATAATCTATCTATATGTACGATTTGAATATTTTCATCAACATAATTATCGTTGAATACTATTATTATTATTATTATTATTAGTAGTAGTAGTAATAGTAGTAGTAGTAGTAGTATTGTTACTGTTGATTTAAACAAGAAAGATTTAGTCACCTACACCAAGAAGCAAGAAAATCACATACATTCAAACATGTAATGCTAATGATTATCGACTACTTGAAAAAAAGTAAATAATAATTGATAACCTATTTGCAATTTTCATCTACCTACAAGAGTAAATAAATCATTCCTTATTATATTACTAGTAGTGGGGTAATATTAATATTAGTATTACGGTGATTATTAATGTAAATGTGTAAAATCAAATGTTATGACGTCAAAGTGAGAAAAAAAAGAGAAGGCTGAATGAGAGAGAAACACATAGCCAATCAAAATTCGACCTTGAATTTAAACTGACAGGCCTGAAGGGCATGTCTATCATTATAATTGCTAATAATAATACAACCAATATCATCATCATCGCTACGACCACCACCACTATCAAAATCTGTCTTGATTTGCTTACGTCAATACAAATATTGTTGAATGAACTAAAGACTAAATGGTGACGCGTGTAAAATTTAACTGAGACACGATCAAGTTGAATGTATCAACTAACTAACTAACTAACTAGTTTACCTAGAAGAATATCTATCAGCTCAAAAATCAATAATTATTTTAGGCTACCTAAACTAATCTTTATCTCTCTCTCTCTCTTATTATAGAATAAAAAGAAAGAAAGAAAAAAGAATTGAATGACTGATAGAATGATCCAGATCAGAGATTTTAACAAAATAAAAAAAAACAATTTGCCTGATATCATAATATAAATTAAAAAAGTTCAGACACATCATTTTGGGTTGGTAAGATAGAAAAGCTATTACGATATATGTGTGAGAGAGAGAGAGAGAAGAAAGAGAGTGGAAAGTATATATATATATATATATGCATATTAATTACGCTGAAATGATGCAATAAGTCCCTAAATGAGGACAAAAAAAAACACACAATCAACTTTAGTTTTTATCATGCTCTGCTTCTTGATTATTTTTTTCTAAAAAAGAACCATGTTCAAATGTTGAAATTAAAAAAAGGGTGGAGGTTGTAACAATTAGTACGAGAAAACACATACGTAGAGAGTATGAGAAATAAACGTTGGTTAAAAGCAAAATACATACAAGTTTAGATAACCACTTTTTAGTACTTAAAATTAACTGAACTCTTAAGTAAATAGATTAAATAAGATTCGACGTCATTACACTGGTGTTTTACAGTTGATTAATACAAATCAGACTGTTACTTAATATTTATTATATTCTTAGAATTATAAAAAAGATAAGAACTGCCAAAAAACAGGCCTACCAATACAAATCAGTCTTAAAAGTAGGTTTCAAACGCAATTTGTAAAGTACATACATGAGTCGAAAGTTCATCAGAATTAATGTTATACGTATATAATCTGAAACGATTATGCATTAATTGAAGGCTCAAAATGTTCAGAGGTTGTGATACAGCATCAACAGTCTACACCTACAAACATAATCACCTTGATAACATTTTAGTCAATTGACAGAATGTTCCTTCGAAAATTAATCAGTTTCGAAAACAACAATATACATTAGTGAAGTTTCACAAATCTTAGTTTTATGCTGGTGTTAACAATTCAACGATCTTTTTTTAAGGTTATTCACGTCCGTAAGTTATATTTAACGACGAAATATAATAAACTACACATTGTATAAATGATTCAAAATAGAATAAAAAAAGGTTATTTGATTTGATTCCACAAGTTAAAGGAGTTGATAAGGACAAAGTGAATATGTTAGGTGGTTAGAAGTAGCCAGTATGAAACCATGGATTTAAGTTTTTGTGCTATTTGGTACTCGTTATAAAGAGATATCCATAATTTTGACAGAACTGATGCTGCACGTGAGATTAAAATCCGCGTCATTAGGTTTCACAGCTTTAGACGTTACTACTGATCTATTCAAGTCACAACTGACCTCATACAGGACTGAGATATATTTACAATTGATTGATCACTAAGTAGTGAGCAATTTCATGCTTATCTAGTCCTTTATCTGTGCTGTGATCGAGTTCTATCGATCAATTCTATATTTTAGAGTACCTGATAATACACTTTTGGAAATAAAAACTAAATCATATATGATAAATATTTATTGCGATGAATGGATATTGATCTATGGAATAACATACAATTGAATTAACTATTATGAAGTATTATACTGATAGAGAAAACATGAGAACATTAGATAGATGATGAGCACAGATATCATTCAATGTAGAACACGATATATACATATACTAAATGAAATCGGATACGCTTCACATCATAGTAACAAGAAAATAATACAAGGGAAGATAAGGAACAAATGTATGCACACCATATTTTTGAACTATGTTGCCTAGAATTTGCAAATACTGATCACAGTTATCTCGCCAAGTCAATAATTATAAGGTTTGCACAGATCAATAGGAAAAGACTTCACAGACTGATGCTATATGTATGTCTTGAGTTAATCACATACATCCTTTTTGTCCAAACTAATCGCCTAAAACTAGAAATGTATGCAAACTATAAGTGTGTAACAGTTACCGCGCGCGAGATAGTGGACGAGCACTGATGAGGAATCCTATACTAGGACGAAACGGTCGTCCAGTGCTTCCAGGTTTTCAACAGTGGTTTAACATTGATTGATTCATGATCTCAATCAAAAAATTATTCAATGGCAGTTTACAATTTCATCCCCAACAGTTTATCATTCTCACCTAATATTCTACGCCTAACGTAAGCAGTGATAAGACAATTTGATTACTTCTTCAACCAATTCTCTAATAAAAACTAACTAAAGTAAATTACAGGTTTAGGGTAATTGGAAAAAGAAACAGTTCACTAACCAACTGACTCCCATAAAAACTATTATTATTAACAATAACATTATTCGTTTGATGAGCTAATAATCAGTTTTGGGTTAATGAAGAAGCATATCGACTTTACGAAAAAAAGATGAAACTTATAACAGTGTATGTAGACACACACACATATGCAAACATACAAAAATATACGTTCATCATTCTATAAGATAGTTTATCATCGAATCGATTTTTGATAATATCAGTTATAGAAGATTCGTTTTCTTTAAAGAGAAAAAAACAGTTAAATAAATCTGAAACTATCATCAAAAGAAGTTTATAAATAGGATACTCACTTATCTATATTATTATTATTATTATAAATTCATATGATACTATACAATTAGCCACTGCTGATACACTATACTTGTTTCATACTGATTATTAGATTAATTGGCATAGTTTTTAGTTAGTACAATAAAAAAACCCAGTGATTTCGTATAGAGAGGTTTAGATGAACAGAATGATCGGGAAAAAAAAGAAAGAATCGAAACAGAAAAGAAGAGAAGAGACAAGGGATAAGAGTAATGACAACAACACTTGGACTCCATATGCCACTATTGGTTATCAGTTGTTAAACTGATTGAATTCAAATAAAAGATTTTTCTTTCATTGTTTGTCTTTAGCTTACATTCTATAATTATAGATTTGATAAAATTTATTTGCCACAAGGCAATGATAATCTTTACGATTATTATCAATATCGCTAATATTATTACTAGTATTACTGTTATGAATCGATATTAATTGGAGGAAACCAATCGTGTCATTGTGCTACAACGGGATAAATGAGGAAAAAAATTGAACTTATCGCTTCTCTTTTCAAAATCAGTTAGTTTGTTGGGATAGGAATACATTGTCAGAAAGTTAGGGGCAGACAAATCATGGACTATGAAGTCATTAACTGTTGGATTGGGCTATATTGGTAGATGGAGACCATCTCGGTTAGGGTCTAGTCAATTATTATGAACAATAGTTGGAGATATCGAGTGAAATGGCTTACAATCGGTCATATTCAGACAGATGTATTCATTATTCGCCTTCCTTTAGATCTTGAGTTTTAAAGTTATCTTATGCTACTTATTCCATAAATTCACCATTTCTACTCACATCATATTGTTCGTGTCTAAAATTTTCTACTAACACAAATACTGTTACTAACTCTACTATTGTGAATTGTCTTGATAATTTCATCTGTCCGTGGTGATATGATGTGGCAACTTGAATTGATACATATATGCAGAAACTTCTAAGCTGTCTAACTGTCAATCACCATCAATATATGAGAGGAAATGGTTGTTATTATGATATTTTTTCGAAAAATTTCATATTTGAATATAATCATAGACTGATTGTTAACTGACCTTCAAATTAATTAATTTGTTTAAAACAAATCGCAATACAAGCGAATACTAAAATAAATATGGCATCACACCAATAACTGAGTGAAATTGTGAAAACATATAAGAAGTAGTATCAGTAAAATGAATAAATGAATAAAAAATAAGTGAACGAGAATAGGTTATAGTAGGAAAGACAGTTCAGTTGAATACAACCGGGAAGAATTTTTTCGGTTATAGGAGTTTCTATCACTTCTATGAGCAATGTAGAGGAAAAATACAGCAGGACCGCCATTGGCTTCTATTCTGAGTCATATCTAATAAAGCTTAGACCCGTTGAGTCGCACTGCCTCTAGGACTCCAGCTGGGGAGTCGTGACGAATAGACAGATGCCAGTTAACACAGCTTTCTTTCATACCATGGCGTTATGTCATAAGCTGACTGCCTCTCCGCCTTTTTAACCCATCCCATAACCAGCAAATATTACACGATATGAAAGTTGCTTGGATAACAGATGGAGTTGTTGTATGTATCGTTTGAGTAAGAAGCTGAGCAGAGCGAACAGAGAATTTCCTTCATAATTACTCATTATCATATCTGTGTATAGGCTGCCCGAGCGCCCAGGTTGGAGTAGGTGGTATACTTAAGAGGGTACTATCTTCACTTTTAACTTAACCGTCTAATTTATAAGCCAGTGAGTAATTGAGGAAATAAAATCTCACAATAGGTCTATAAGCTCTTTGCTCCCACAGTACGCAGAAGCTTATGCTAACCATTAGTTTGAAATCAGGGCTTTCTAACTCCTCTGATGAGTTCCCCTGTAATCACTAATCCGGCTCAAACCCCGGAGATTCGCTATCCGTCCTCTCACTTAGGTAAACAACACCATCAGCATAAAGCAGTGAGTATAAATGAGTGGCCAAATGAGAGCATTTATAGAGTACGATGAGTATTTCCCCACTCCCGGCCATATCAAGAAATATCTTCAAAAAAGATACATATTCACCACTGTTTACTTCTTTAAATGAAACCAATGAAAATAAATGTCTTTATGTACATCAGTCGTTTTAATAGTTTGCTAGGTAATAGTGTAAGTAAATTATAAAGCTTAATGCTTGCTTTCTAAACTATTACCTATCCACTAAATTGTTAATAAAAATAAGGCTGATTTATATTCAAATTATGTTTGGTACTCTACAGAACACTCATAACTACTTCCTAGAAATTTTAAAATCGAGAAAAATTGTACAGCGTAAACATAGAATTAATGGTTCACTTCTATGGTCAGTTAAATTATAGAAGTCAAGGGTTTTATTTTGAAATGGTTATTAAGAGAGTTTAAAAGTTTTGGGAACTTCTGCAAAACATATTCAAATTAATGATAATTTTGTCATGTACTACACCTCATTATAGTTGTGCATGTTCTTTGAGAAGCGTAGAAAACAGGTCATATATAATGGATATTTAAAAATAACAAGAGACATACAATAGGTTTATTACATAAATTTTATTAAAATTGTGTGTTTAGTATATTTGATGTGAGGTTAGCAGTAGAATCCAGGGCACGTGTATCATCCAATTTGGAATTCGTCAGCAAGATGCATCTGCATCCTAGTGTTGGGGTCCATATCGTAGCTTGAACGTGGTACTTTTCGCTCTATACGTTCGACGCATTATCCACTAAGCTACTGAATTGTTTACTGTGTCTGAAAGTATTAGTGGTGACTTGTAAATTCTTATTGTTGGTATTTGGGACTGTAATCGATTAATCTTTGTTGATAAATATGCATCCTGAGGGCATTGGTTCCATATAGCGTTATGTAACGAGTCTAGTAATGTTGGGTTGTATGTTATTGTACTATATTTCGTAAACCCTTACCAGTTGCAATAAGACTCATACAGATACTAGAGTAACAATGCTCATTAACTTCTTCATTTAGTGGGGAATTCAATACATTGTACAAACTAATCAAACAAAGGAAGGTAATAAATAGATCTTCAATGTTTAAACAATATATAAGATACCGTTCTCTGACATTTCTATACGACATGGATGATAGTAAATGATTATGCAATGTTCACTCGTTGCATACATTTTCACCAAGTTAATTGAAATTTTAAACACTGAATTATAGAAGATCAGATGAGGATTTGTAGAAAGTTTGACTTCCATTTAAAAAAAAATATTTTAATGAAACATTTATACATATAACTTAATCGTACAACTACTAATAATAGCAGTAAAACCACTACTGCAAACACTTATATTTTACATGATTTTCGTTATGAGTAAATAATTTATCCTAGTATGGGACTATTCTACAACAATGTCCATGCGCGACTCCATTGGGAATCGAACCCAAGACCTTCAGGCCTCATGGTTAGTGTTTGATCATTAGATCACTGATCTGGCATCTAATGGTTAACAAGTTTAAATTCAATCAAGTCGTGAAATTTTTAAATCATCCTATATTATTGACAAGTAACTGCCTTACATTCCAAATCGTTGAACTCCTCTCATCACGATTTCTTACTGAAATCCTATCTGGAAAAGGGAGGTGTCTGTAGAAATAACTTGATTTCATGGTTTACATTTACGAACTGATCTTGATTAGACAAATATATTATATCAAATAGGTTTATTTGAATCAAAATTTTAGAAAAAAAAGTTAATCAAATGATAATAATTTATTTACCTGGTAAGAGTTTGTAAAACCCGGATGATCAAGATCATGTGACAAAGCGGAGAACAATAGAATCAGTAAATCCACTGAGGATAAATACAATGGTAAATTTACCATTTTAATGATACAATACATCTGACAGAAAAGAGAAAAAAACAGGAAGTAAAAAGAGAACAGATAAAATACAATGGTTATAATGTTGTTTTTTTCATAGTCGCTGTTTATAATATTCACTTATTTGTGTATCTCTCCTTTTATCATTTCGATCTCAATCAATAATATTTGTATAGGTAGACAGACGAAAAAACTATGAAAAAAAATCGTGGTGAATAGTTATTTCAATTTACTGTATAATCATTTCATATATATTTCATAACTATTTTCTTTAGGGTATTACCTTGAAGAAGTTCAGACAATTTAGCTGGACGAAACGTTGAAATGATTTAACTTTCAATTGCTGAGATTATTTCAAATATAATTCATACATATAATGACTTTTCTGTACTCGGCGCCCAATTTCTGTCAAACTATCTAATGGTTGTGACTTTGAATTTGAAGCCAATTCAATTCTCTCCAATTGTTCGTGTGTTTTAATGAAGATTGTAGTGTTGTATTAGTATTCATCGATAATACTGATTAAATAGTATACTTGATTATACAATAATTAAAATAGTTGTTCATTATGAGTATACAGTGGAGGTTAGTAATTAGCGAAAAATAAACCACTATCTATCTATGTATATATACGAATACATAAATGCACATAGAGTAGATGAATCCAATATTTGTCTTCTCTTAGATTTTGAGTTTACGAATTATATTATACTTTTCTATTGTTGAATCATATTATATATATCTAATCTCTTATCATACCAGTAATATTGTAAATATTAGTTCTGTTACTCTAATATTTGTCTTGATTATTTTTATTTCGCTCTATTGATTTAATGTGACAAATTAAGCTAACGTACATAATTGACAGGTACTATGTTGCGTTTGATTAACTGATTGACTGATATTGTAAGAAAGTTGAGTTGAATGAAAGTAAACTGCAACTGTTTCGAAATTATTTTACGGAGAAACATGATATTTTAAACTATGCTCTTAGAAAATGATGCTTCAAATTAAATAAAATTTGTTGACTAAAACAAAATTGAGAAACTTTACAAAACTCATTTATTTACTATACATACACAAAACATCTGACTAGAATCTGGTCGTCAGACTTCAGTGTTTAAGAATACATATATATATATATATATATATATATATATATGGTTTGTTTGATAGGATGAGACGTGCATCCTGGGTTTCAGTGCTAGCCACTATCTAACTCTGCTTAAAATATTAGTTGTAATTTATTTCTGTTAATTGATATTCAGGTACCTATACATGATATTCCGATAGATACCAGTCTGATAACAGCCTGGATGAACGCTTTAAAATATCCAGGATTGACTGAATTTCATTTGCTAATTAACAGAAGATAAGTTTTTGTTATCACCGAAAGCCGCCAATCAGAAACAGCGAATTATCGATCGGACCAAGGACGCTTTCTGTCTAGCCCAGCCAGTTAACTCCAGAACACCAATCTCAGCCTCTGCAATATGAATCCTTATATTTCAAACATACTGAGTTTATATACCAATCAAACAGATCACAACGTACCATCAGAATAAAAGATAACATTTGTACAAAGTTTGGTGAAATGTGGCTGTGAATGTGGGAGGTAGTGATTAATAAACAGTGCATAATTCAAGAATGGTAAAACGTATAATAATGGTTCATAGGTCAAAATAAAGCTTATAATAAGAGGAACATGAATATGAGTAGTTTAGTTATTTAACATTTATACGATAATAATATACGTTTAGTATTGGTCCATAAAAGGATCCCAAAGTTACCATTCATTATGTTTATCGGGACCTAACAGTTTTACAGTCTGAAAATATTTCCATATAAAGTGTTCGTATTCCATGCTCAACTTACATCTTATAAGGCGTTTTTCATGTATCAGTTCAAATCTCAAAAAAATAACTCACATTCAGTATAACACATGCAGACATACAGTGAAAAAGTTTGCATATTTGTACTAATCTCATAGACAAAGTGATAGTGTAAACACTGAAGATCGGTGTAAGTAAATGTTAGTTTCATCGAAGAAAAGAAATAAATATAAGCATTACAGTAACGAGAAACATCTGTTGCTCAATGTAATAAGTGGATTTCTTTTAGCAAGCTATTTAAAAACTCTGGTTTATCCAACTTTTTTTCGAAAGCTATGTAGTTGATATTATGCATATGTACTGTTATTTGCTATATTAAATACTGCTACAAGATTACAAATTAAGAGAAAAATTCACAACATGAATTCAGGCTATTTAAAAATGATTCATTATCTTACAGAGGAAGAATGAAAAGAAAAACAGAATATTTTGGCTAACCAGTGACGATAATATGGTGAAAGCATGTGTATGAGCTGTGGTGTATGCTACTTATGTCTGTCGACATAAGTAGTATGTAACACATATCAGAAGTGGAGGGCCTGACAACAAAAGGTTGAGAAGATTAAATTGAAGAGAACAGAAATATAAACAAATAATAACTGTGATAACAATAGAAATGGAGGAACGATGAAGCATTTGAGAAACAATTTATAGAAAATGTGCAAATGACGTATTTAATGTATGATTTTCGTATTTTATCAAGACATTCTATAATTTTGTAATAAACAATGAGTTCTCATTCACTACAGTGTGAGTATATGTGGCATTTTATAGAGTAATCATCTAGTGTGATACTGAAAACTAACTGCTATCTGTGCACATACGACATTTCAAGGTCAAAATTTACGCCAGAAATTATAACTGAAGTAAGCTGTTAGACGAATTCGGTTAAGCACTTAATGAAGACCCCATTAGCCTAAATGTCCCTGTTTGTGTCAGAATGATAATCGTATATACACCTACGATTTGTGTATATTATGATTCGGTTTAGCAATTAAGCCTTCCCACTCATTTCACTCTTGTCATTTGTACTGTAGGTATATAGTAACTGAATCACACTACTGAACACAACAATCTTCTAAGAATTATTTATCATTGGTTGAGATCATGAGTCAGTTGAAGCTAGACCACCATGGAAAATCTGGAAGAACTGGACGGCCGTATCGTCCTATTGTGGGACTCCTCAGTAGCGTGAACCCACGATCTCGCCCCCTGAGAGATTCGAACTTAGGACCTATCAGTCTCGCGCACGAGCGCCTAACCATTAGACCACTGGGCCGGCCGGTATCCAACGGTGTTAATGTCTAACTTTAATTAATTTATCAGTTGAGATCTTGAGAATCATAATCATGAACAAATTACAAATTGGATCACTTCAGTCATTGTAATATTTTATTAATTATACAATCATCACACGCACTGCTTTTTATGTTATATTACTTATTATGAGACATAAGAAACAAACAATAGATTAAATTTGGCATATACAATAATTCTGAACAATTATGCATGAATAAGTTATTTATAGTTAGTTCATAAAATAACTTCAAAGTGTTGACAAAACAAAATAATTCACTTGTCGTTCCATAACAACATGAACACAGACATAATAAGTGAATATTAAATTGTCTGGCTAATAAAATGATCATCAACCTATCAAAAGAATTACATTTCTCTCTCTCTCTCCCTCAGTTCTTAACACATTATATGTTGCCGTGTTAATCTTTATTGTAAAATGGTAAGCACGTATAGAATTAATTAGTGTATTATTACTATTATTATTTAATTTTAACTAAATGATGACGTGTGTAGAGGATAATTTCGAATAGGCGGTGAACATAGAAACAAAACAAACAAACAAACAAAAAAAGTAGATATTATGAAATGTTAGGGACTTTTAAATGATAAAATCGAATCATTTCCATTATGTATCAATATATTTGCATGAAATACGATAGATTACATTTGTTATTTTATTAGAAAAATGAAATATATCGGGAAACAAAGGATACTTTGATTAAAACACATTAAAATATATCATGCTATAATACAAAGAAATATTATCTTATATTGAACGACAACAGATTGAAATTACATAATAGTTTCTGTAGGCAGGATCAAGTCCTAACTGATTAATAGGCTTAAATCATGGAATTGATTGATGAGTTAACGAGTGATGTTTTATGGTGTAGGAGTAGGTTGGAAAAGAGCTAGGGGTGGTTAGATCAAAATATGGCACAAATCCATGAAGTCACTGACAAGTGGACTGAGCCATGTTGGTAGATGTAGACTACCTGGTTGGGGACCACGAGACAATAGCAACCGATGGTTAAAGACCTTGAATGACATGGCTGAAAATGGTTTGCAATGGTGCAGGTGCATGCACTCTTTGTGTTCTCCCAAATTCTAATATTCTGAATTCTTCATGTCTCTTTCTCTTTTTCTCTTTCCAAATTTATTTCACTGGATTATACTCCTTGAATAACATGTTCAAAGCCTAATTTTTCCGATTACGGTTTATATTTTTACTACCTCCACCACTATGGGATTTGAATCGACAATTGAATCTCTGTACTAATGTAGTATGACAACTTGGACTGATGCACGTATGTACGAAGTTCTACGCTGTTGTTGACTGACTAATTAACTAACACTGATGAGTCTATTTTTTCAACTAAACAGAACTAGTGGATGATTCAAGATGTCACAAGATTATTGTGTAAATTCTAATATAATCTTCAATATTTCAACTACTGTATCTTGATTGTATTTTTGGCTTTATTAGAATTAATATTGTTTATTTTCAATTCTTGTTTTAATTTCGGAAGAGTTTAGTGAAGTATTATGAAATACTGAACAAGCAAAGAGCATAATAGTTTTTATTAAAGAAGATTAAATGTCAAATAAAATGTAGAAATATATTATATAAAATATAATTTGAATGTGTCATATTCTTACAATTCTACTTTGAAACTAATACACTTTCTAGGCTTGTTTAAAATCGGCAAAGTAACTCATTTATACACCAAATACACTTTTATGTTAATCAGCTTTCAGTCAGATTTTTTTTATTTTCTCTTTACTAATGATGATATACATCATTAAGTTTCCCAAATTGAAATAGATGCA